TAAATAATTTAATTCCTTAAATTTTTGAATCTATCTCAGAATTACTCTATTTGTAAATAAATAACATTAAGATTAATAATTTAGATGGCATGGCGAAATTGACGAAAAATATGAAAAATTCCTGGTAACTACCAAAAAAACATTTTAAAAAATTTATGATAAACACAATAATACTTTTTAATTATTTAAGATGATCCAGCCACCATACACAAGAAAAGACATTCTACCTCCGAAAGGTAAATTTATATAAACACCATATTCTATTACTGATTGATATAAAGTGGAAGCTATTCAACTGTGCGAAAGAAAGACAACTGAAGTTGTGTATTATTCATTGAACGTAAAAATGCAGAAAATGTTCAGACACATTTTACTTAAATCATTCAAAAATGATGAAATATTATATTAACAATATACAAATGTGTCAAAAAATAATGGATGACTTTAGGTTGTAATATCTGAATGATTTGTTTGAAATTAAATTGATTTTTAGCTCCGAGTCGTATATTTCAACTTTCTAAATTTGTATGGACGCTACTTTCTTCAGTATAAGTCGTCTTTAACAATGTTCTCCTTATAGACGCAACAGATAGAAGTAAGATTAGTAGCGATCATCAGGGATTATTTTCAGCCGTAAGCCTATACCACCTTTCATTTTTCGTGAACACTCCCTTTAATAAGTTAACTTTGTGAGGCTAAAAAGCTATTTGGAGAAAAGGAAATGTTCTGTTTGTTCTTGTTGGGTTTTCTTTAAATGTTCTCGAAGTACATAATTCATTTTTTTTATTTTTTTAGGACTAACTGTTGCAGGTATACAGCTTCAATCAAGATGTAAACAACCCAATCAGGGAACCCTAAATTTATCATGATCATGCAGTGCACTAGCAATACACCTACAGTACACTAGCAGTATACTAGCAATACACCCGCAGTACACTAGCAGTTTTCTAGCAGTATACTAGCAGTACACTAGCAATACTCTAGCAGCACACTAGCATGTACACAGCAATACACCTGCAGTTTACTAGCATTATACTAGCAGTACACTAGCAGTACACTAGCAGTACACTAGCAGTACTAGTAGTACACTAGCAGTACTCTAGCATTACACTAGCATTACACTAGCAGTACACTAGNCAGTACACTAGCAGTACAATAGCAGTACACTAGCAGTACTAGTAGTACACTAGCAGTACTCTAGCATTACACTAGCATTACACTAGCAGTACACTAGGAGTACTGTAGGAGTACACTATAGGAGAACACTAGTAGTACACTAGCTGTACACTAGCAGTAAACTAGCACTACACTAGCAGTAAACCAGCAGTACACCAGCAGTACACTAGCAGTACACTAGCAGTACACTAGCATTACACTAGGAGTTCACTGGCAGTACACTAGCAGTAAACTGCAGTAGTAAACAACATTTAATTTAAATTGAGTCTTTACCACAAACTCCAAATTTCAAACTATAGATTATGTTCAAACATTTTTTGAAATACCAAAGGGTTACACCATTAGGTTGCAAAGATAGTGATTAGAAAATTTGAGTATGTGGCAAAGACTCGATTCCTTGAATCTATAAAAGATAAAAAGGGAGAATATAGGTCGAGACATTTTGGGAAGTGAAGGGAGCTGAAAATCAGCTGAACCATATGGATTATCATATCAAAATCAGGTAAAAGAAAACCTACAAAATCAGCTGAACCATATGGATTATCATATCAAAATCAGGTAAAAGAAAACCTACAAAATGTCGATGTTAGAGGGGGCCCCCTTTTTTCTACTAACCTCATTTTGTAATATTGTAGTATTGTGATAGAACTGAAAAATCATAAATAGTCCACTTATAGAAAATTGTAACATTTAAAAAGTTGACTTTTTAAAATGTGCTTCCCGCGATGCGGACCGCGCCTCAATAAAGAAGTACATGCATAATTATATAAGACCCCCCCCCATCCCCCGGTTAGGGTTTCCAAAGTGCGACAATTTAGCGAAAAAATGCGAACCCCTACCAGTACCATGCCGGACCCCAATNAAAGTGCGACAATTTAGCGAAAAAATGCGAACCCCTACCAGTACCATGCCAGACCCTATTATTAATTCTAAGGTTAAAAATCAAATGCAAAACTGTAATTTCAGTTTACTAAACGCTGAAGGTATTGCAAAAAAAGTAACAGTACGAGTCTACCTTGTCAAGGAAAAATTTGTGTAAGTAATTTTATTTTATTTTATATTTCCGATGACGCACATTCAATATTTCTCTAAATGTAATCTTTTTAATTTCTCATTTATATTCCGAAACTAATTCAAAATAAAAATCATATTTTAGTTTATTTATGTATTTTAATTCCCAATTTTGTAAATTTAATATTTAATTTCCAAACTATTTTTAATTTTAACGGTAAAAAAATCTAAACTAAATTTGTTTCAAGTACTATTTTGTTTCTGTAGGTCTGATAACAAGTACTATTTTGTTTCTGTAGGTCTGATAACAATACTATTTTGTTTCTGTAGGTCTGATAACAAGTACTATTTTGTTTCTGTAGGTCTGATAACAANCTTTATCCCTAGATTGCTCCCCTCTCTCTATACTACCCTCCTTTATCCCTAGATTGCTCCCCTCTCTCTATACTACCCTCCTTTATCCCTAGATTGCTCCCCTCTCTCTATACTACCCTCCTTTATCCCTAGATTGCTCCCCTCTCTCTATACTACCCTCCTTTATCCCTAGATTGCTCCCCTCTCTCTATACTACCCTCCTTTATCCCTAGATTGCTCCCCTCTCTCTATACTACCCTCCTTTATCCCTAGATTGCTCCCCTCTCTCTATACTACCCTCCTTTATCCCTAGATTGCTCCCCTCTCTCTATACTACCCTCCTTTATCCCTAGATTGCTCCCCTCTCTCTATACTACCCTCCTTTATCCCTAGATTGCTCCCCTCTCTCTATACTACCCTCCTTTATCCCTAGATTGCTCCCCTCTCTCTATACTACCCTCCTTTATCCCTAGATTGCTCCCCTCTCTCTATACTACCCTCCTTTATCCCTAGATTGCTCCCCTCTCTCTATACTACCCTCCTTTATCCCTAGATTGCTCCCCTCTCTCTATACTACCCTCCTTTATCCCTAGATTGCTCCCCTCTCTCTATACTACCCTCCTTTATCCCTAGATTGCTCCCCTCTCTCTATACTACCCTCCTTTATCCCTAGATTGCTCCCCTCTCTCTATACTACCCTCCTTTATCCCTAGATTGCTCCCCTCTCTCTATACTACCCTCCTTTATCCCTAGATTGCTCCCCTCTCTCTATACTACCCTCCTTTATCCCTAGATTGCTCCCCTCTCTCTATACTACCCTCCTTTATCCCTAGATTGCTCCCCTCTCTCTATACTACCCTCCTTTATCCCTAGATTGCTCCCCTCTCTCTATACTACCCTCCTTTATCCCTAGATTGCTCCCCTCTCTCTATACTACCCTCCTTTATCCCTAGATTGCTCCCCTCTCTCTATACTACCCTCCTTTATCCCTAGATTGCTCCCCTCTCTCTATACTACCCTCCTTTATCCCTAGATTGCTCCCCTCTCTCTATACTACCCTCCTTTATCCCTAGATTGCTCCCCTCTCTCTATACTACCCTCCTTTATCCCTAGATTGCTCCCCTCTCTCTATACTACCCTCCTTTATCCCTAGATTGCTCCCCTCTCTCTATACTACCCTCCTTTATCCCTAGATTGCTCCCCTCTCTCTATACTACCCTCCTTTATCCCTAGATTGCTCCCCCCTCTCTATACTACCCTCCTTTATCCCTAGATTGCCCCCTCTCTATACTACCCTCCCTTAGCCCTAGATTGCTCCCCTCTCAATACTACCCTCCCCTAGCCCTAGATTGCCCCCCTCTCCATACTACCCTCCCCTAGCCCTACATTGCCCTCCTCTCCATACTACCCTCCTCTACCCCTAGATTGCCCCCCTCTCACCCCCAATTTGAAAAGCTTATTATGACTCTCAATATAATCTATAATTTCTCTCTTTTACATTTGATAACTATTTAAAATTTAGGACTAATTAAAAATGACTGTATACAGCGTAATTTCCTGCAGCTTTCCTACACTAGAAATGTACAAGTCACAATCCACAATTGAAAATAATCAGTTTTCAAAATTATAAACAGGGATATCTTAAACATATTTTACCAGACAAAGCTTTTCAGGAATTACCGTTGTGAATCGGCCATTATCAACTTTGAATGAAGGATCACTTGGAATAACGCTTACAGTCCCTTTAATGTTAAACATGCTTTCATGTCTTCTACATTGTGGTTAACCTTGTACTTTCTCTCCTATTTATGTTAAAAAGACTCTCCACGTAATTTCAAGTATTGTCTATTTTTTTGGTGTTGGGTCATTTCATAAACAGACATTTCATAGATAGACATTTCATACATAACAAAATTATGGATAGGACATTTCATAGACAGGACATTTCATATACAAGCCATTTTATAGATAGGACATTTCATAGACAGGAAATTTCATAGAGAGGACTATCCATATACAGGAAATTATATAGATAGAGTACATTTTTCATAGACAGTTAATTTCATAAACAGAGTAGAATTTTCATAATTTTAAAAACACAAAAGCAATAACCTGTCTATGAAATGTCTTTCTGTGAAATGTCTTTTCTATAAAAAGTCTTTCTTTGAAATGTTTTTTTATGAAATGATCGGAAACATATTTATTTAGTTTTGAATACACGATTCACAACATTTAATCATTGTAATCTGAGTAACAATGATTAAGATTTTTTGAAACGCAAACAGCATTTTCATAAACACTTTTTTTGTTGAGAGAACCCGCAATTAAAAAAGATCCATTTTTTCTGAAGAAAACATAATTCTTGCTCAGACAGTTATCGAGGGTATTGTTGTGAATCGAGCGTGTTAATCCCTAAATGCAGGGTAACTTGAATTTCTGCCAACAGTCACTTTAAGAGTTTTTATTTTCAGGAGCCAAGCAAGAAGATATTTTAAGGTTTGATAATCAGAGTTCACTCATTTGGCGGGTACGTATATATTAGGTTGTTAATCGTTTTAAAAAAGATCACAAAACTGTCTTTTTTCGTTTCGTTTGGTCACAACGAACGAACCACTCGTTTTAAACTTGAAATTTTTCGCTATGGTAAATCTGAGTTTTATGACAGTTAATTACATTTTTTTTTCTTTAGGAAGATAAGTTTATGAATGTTGTCTTAAATTGGTTTTTATATCTAGATAAATAACCTGAATGTTGTCTGATCTGAGGGTTTTCCGACCAAAAAATGTACTTTGTCTAAATAAGGTCGTTAACGATAGTTAACGAAGGGTCCTTAACGATCTTCAAAAATAAAAAAATAAACCTACCTTCGTTAACGAAATGACGAACTGAACCTCTAACACGTCTTGTTTGTTTTTTGATTAAAAAACGATCTTTTTAGAAAACAATCGTTTTTAAAAACGACAGTTTCGTTCTTGATAATTTCGCAAATAAAGAGACAAGTTTACAGTTTGCAGGGAATCGTGACTATAAGGAAACAGGCGGTAAAATTCCGTTAAATTGTCTCTGAAACAACTATCGTGAAAATGACAAGAAAAATTGACACAAAAATACCTCCCCTCCTCAAATTACATATGTAGAATTGTAGATATCCCCCTCTCCCTGCCTCCCAGCAAAAACAGGGTAACCCACAAAGGATGAGACTTTAAGGAAGACCTGAAAATGTTTGATCTATGACGTTCTTCTTGATTATTACCGACTGTATAACTGATTTTTTATTTATATTAAATTANCCATATTATATTAGAACAAAGGATGAGACTGCAAAGACGACCTAAAATTAATATATGACGATCCCAAGGTTGAATTAAGACTTCTGCCTTGACTGTTAGCTTGTAATAGCTTTTTATCAGATTGAGCAATGAAACAAGTTTACAGATGCAAGGAATCAGCTAGAAATAAGAGGAATCAGACATTATAATTTCCGTACAATCGTGTCATCCTTAGTGGGTCACCCTGTATTAAAAAGAGAATATCAAGGATTTATTTTATATTTAATGTAAGAGTTTTTGACACAAACTCTTATTTTCTAATCCTTCTATCTTTGCTACCCAATGATATTTCAGACTATAAATTCAGCTGGATCAAATAATCTAAGTTTGAAATATCAAAGGTTTACACCACCAGGTTTCAAAGACTGAATTTCTTAGTTAACTTGTCTTTTATGTTGGTTTGGTTATGCTATTTAATGACTCTTTTTTTCTAATGTTTTATATTTATTTTTGAAATATTTTAAGGTTTGATAATCAGAGTTCACTCATTTGGCGGGTACGTATATATTGGGTTGTTAATCGTTTTAAAAAAGATCACAAAACTGTCGTTTTTCGTTTCGTTTGGTCACAACGAACGAACCACTCGTTTTAAACTTGACATTTTTCGCTATGGTAAATCTAAGTTTTATGACAGTTAATTAAATTTTTTTTTTCTTTAGGAAGATAAGTTTATGAATGTTGTCTTAAATTGGTCTTTATATCTAGAGAAATAACCTGAATGTTGTCTGATTTTAAGGGTTTTCCGAACAAAAAATGTATTTTGTCTAAAAAGGTTGTTAACGATCGTTATCGATACTCAAAAAAACAACAAAAAAACAGTCCTCCTTCGTTAATGAAACGACGAACTGAAACTAAAAACAACTTCTACGTTTTTAATTAAAACAATCGTTTCTAAAAACGACCGTTTATTTCGCAAATAAAGAGACAAGTTTATAGTTGCAGAAGTCGTGAATATAAGGCAACAGGCGGTATAAATTTCGTATAATCTCTCTGAAGTCTCATTCTTTGTGGGTAACCCTCTATACGTTCACCAATGGCTTAAATTGTTTCATTTTTATGGAACCAATTGTGGCTTTACAGTTGGATAGAATTCAATCATGGAAAAAAATCAACCATCGTGAAAACGATAAGAAAAATTGACACAAAAATACCTCCCCTCCTCAAATTACATATGTAGAATAGTAGATATCCCCCTCTCCCTGCCTCCCAGCAAAAACAGGTTTACCCACAAAGGATGAGACTTTAAGGAAGACCTAAAAATGTTTGATCTATGACGTTCTTCTTGATTATTACCGACTGTATAACTGATTTTTTATTTATATTAAATTATCCTGAAAAAAGGTTATTTAAAAATGTCTATACAAATTCAGGACAGTCTGAAGTCTCATCCTCAGTGGGTAACCCTGCATGTTATACGTCACACAACAAATGAATATAAAAATATGATATTTAGAAAAAAGATGAATGTGGATGGCCCTCATCTCTGGCTTTACCAAAGGGAAAAAGTGATATTCCTGAAAAATACAGGTAAAAAATTGATGATCTTTAAGTTATTAATTGTTATTGTTATGAATTAAATTTGAAATAAAATCTGTACAAAATTTACACATAAATATATTAAAATTATAAGAATATTAAAAATAACAATTTTCGCATATTTTTTTCTCGTACAATTTTGCATCGTTTTCGCTTCCTTTCGCGAAAAAATTAGAAATTTTGCAAGAAAATACGAAACAAAATTTCGCTAAATTTTGCAAATGTTTGGGAAACCTTAGGAAACACATATTAAATTAAAAGTTAATTTTGTAATAAATGATTTATTAATTTTAGATTGGTTGTATTTCTTAATGATCTGGTGGATCAAACTATAACAGAAGGCGAAGGAAATGAACCAACAATGTAAGTTTATACAGTGGTAACCACAAAATAGTGGAATAAATGTCGTTTTTTATTGAAATATCGTTGTAACTTATTTTTTTTCTAAAAGTTTCTAAATTACAAAACCAGGGAACAGGAATAAAGGGAAAGGAAATGGCACTGGTCCGGCAAGAGAAAGCCAGTCGCACTGCTTTGCAGACCAGTACAGTAAACTGACACACACTCTTCTGGTACAGACACACAACATGACTACAGTCAAGGAAATTGTAGAACAATGTCGTCGATTATAATTAAATTTGAATAACGAGTAGTTTATTGTAAACTTTAATAAAATTATATTCTTTGCATGAAAATTTGGCTTTATAGTGTTGACTTAAATATGTAAATAATATATTACATGTATATTAAACATATGTTTAAGTAAACAATTAACAATAAACAACCGTACTCTCCTAGACTGCACAAATCCCGAGATTCTTATGTACTGTATAAACCTACAGTACA